GTATTCAACAAGATATTTGATTTGGCAGTTGGTGCATCGGTATCTTCTTTATCGAGTTTGTACACAACTGCAATGAAAGCTGCTGGTGCTAGTAGACGAGTTTTTCAGATCTTGGACCGTGTTTCTAGCCTGCCAAATTCAGGGGATAAGTGTCCGGTCGGGTGAGATTTCCGCTCATATTCGTGAAATTAATTTTCTATAGCATAAGCACATTTTCATTTTATAACTTTGGGAATATCATGGTTGCAGTAATCCTGATGGAGATGTGGAAATAAATGATGTCTGGTTTGCTTATCCTTCTCGCCCGAGTCACATGATACTTAAGGTAAGACGAAATCTGTATTAGATAAGTCATTTTATCACAAGAAACATATATCCTTCAACATAGCACGAGCGAACGAATTTGCTAGAACAAATAAAGGTTTGGTTTTTGAAAGTTTCTCGACTCTAGAGTTACAAAAATAGGAGATTCTTGAACGATTACTAAAAATTTCTGAGGATATTAACCAAATATGTGAAGGTGTTTCGATTATAACCATCACTTAAAACCCCAAAATTTGTGCAGGGAATATCGTTGAGGTTCAAAAGTTGCACTTGTAGGACCAAGTGGCGGAGGAAAAGTAAGTTTAGAACATACAGTTTCGATTCAATTTTGTTTTTGCGCGATTTCTCGTGTGGTCCCGTCGGTGAATGTTTCCCATATTTTGCATTTGCCATATTTCAGACGACCATAGCCAATTTGATTGAGGGATTCTATGATCCTGTCAAGGGAAAGATTTTGCTTAATGGAATTTCTTTGATGGAAATATCCCATCAATACCTTCACAAACAGGTAAATATTCTGTTTCTTGAATGTTTATTTGGTAGAACCCAAATCTTGAAATTTCTTACCATTGGTTCTTTCATTTCAGATCAGCATTGTAAGCCAGGAACCGATTCTTTTCAACTGTTCAGTTGAAGAGAACATCGCATATGGATTTGACGGTGAAACTAGTCTTTCAGATATAGAAGATGCAGCGGTAAGTACATCCCTAATCTCTTTCTTTCTCTAAAATCAAATAATAACTGCACACCGTGCTGATCGGAAACAAAATGACATGTGCAGAAAATGGCGAATGCACACGAGTTCATAGAAACATTCCCGGATCAATATAAAACCGTTGTTGGAGAACGCGGATTACGTCTCTCAGGAGGACAGAAACAGAGGATTGCAATCGCAAGGGCGCTTCTTACAAACCCTAGAGTCTTGCTTCTTGATGAAGCAACCAGTGCACTCGATGCTGAAAGCGAATATCTTGTTCAGGTAAGAAAACATAACACTGGAATCAAACTCCCATTTCGACCAAAACAAAAGAAAAGGGAATCAAACTCCCAAAATATAAAAAAACCAAATTCAGTTTACTCATGTTCTAAAGTTCTGAATCTGTTTTGTAGGATGCGATGGACTCGTTGATGGCAGGAAGAACGGTATTAGTGATAGCTCATAGGTTATCGACAGTTAAGACCGCAGACTGTGTAGCGGTTATATCGGATGGTCAAGTGGCTGAGAAAGGTACTCATGATGAGCTTCTCAGGTTTAATGGAATTTACACTAATCTTGTCAAGAGGCAGCTTCAAAGTTCTTCCTCTGTAACTAATTTGTGAGATGAGACTTTTATTCTGACAACTACAACAAAAAGAAGACATTATATAGAGTCGATTGTTAAACTCCATTTTGTATAATGTGAATCTAATCAAAATCCTTTTCTTTGGGGAAAATCGCTGAAAAATACCCGAATTTAATGTAATTTGTTTAGAAAATACATAATTACCCAAATAATACATGAAGTATTACAGTTTGCCATTTATGTACTCAGACTTTCAAATATTCTAATGGTGTTGACCCGTTAACGGAATATGGTAAACAATGTTAAAAATTTTAACGTAAAAAAAATTCTTAAAAATACTCAACTAAATTGGGCTTGCTAAAAAATACACAAACTATTTTGGCTACCTGCATCCAAATTTCACTGAATGGACGAAAGTACTCTCATTAGAACCAATCGGTTTACTCATAAAAAAAAATATTTTCTAATGGCATTTTCTTAATATGCCACGATAGTTCTGTTACGAACCATGCTCAAACCATCAAAACTCATGTTGAAACAGAAACATCACAGAATTATTTACAACTTCAATTTATACATAGTTTCAATACAAGTTTTAGCTGTTGGAAAGCTAAACTGATCATTTTCTTTTTATACAACCTCTTACATTCCCGCCAAAATTAACCGCT